CCGTGACCAACCCTTGCGAAAGTTGCTTAACGACAACGATCGCGTGCTGCGGCGCTTACCCCCTACGCCACCGAGCAACTTATTCATCACCACCAAACGAATACATTTTCCGATTTATAATATTAGTAGTTGTCAGGCCCGGACCGTCCATAATGGCAAAGAAGCCAACTAAAACTACCTAGGGCGCTGGTTTTTGGGGCGGCTCAATCTGTTTTGATCGAATTATTTGAACTTATGGGATTACCATCTTCATCAGCCTATTATAGTTCCCACTGCTGGGTTTTAAGATGAAATCGAATCAAATATGGAGAATGGGCCATGACCCCAACAAGGGTCCGTTGGGGATTGGATTGGTGGCTATAGACGATCGCTGATCCCGCCGGCACCAATGCCTTAACGTGCCTTCTGAAGCACGGAGGTAAATCGAAATAGTAATTTTTGGTCACCCATCTTGTGACCGGCCCTTACGAAAGTTGCTTAACAATCATATCGCACACTCCACTGCTGCCCGTTTTCACTAAACTTAGGAGTAGCCCAAATCTGTCGCCTTTATTTAGGAATCGCCTAAAAGGGCTGAGGTTTTCTGTAGTTACTCAAATTAATAAAAATTAATAAAAACATTTAACCGCTTTTAAAATAAGTACTATTAGCTGACCCGGCGAACTTCGTACCGCCTAACAGTCAATGAATGTCGTGTTACCTTTTAGCTGAACTAATTTAGGCTTTGATGAACGTAATACAATGATACAAAATATATAAAAGTATTTTATTATGATGAATAATGATGAATACATACAGAATGAGAATAAAAATAAAAAAAAAAAATAATTAAGTATTTCAAACACATGTCTGAACATGAGAAAAACACGCATTTTCTAGATTGAGGCCACAAATAGTCAAGGATTGGCCCTGTGATTTGTTGATCGTCATGGCGAAAGCAAGACGAATCGGGAATTGAATTCGTTTAAACTCAAAGGGTAACTCTGTTGGGATCATCGGAATCCTTGGAATAAGAACTTCCTCATCTTTAAATTTTCCTTTAAGTATCGACGCGTGAATCACATTGTTCATTACACAGTTTTGGTTCGTTTAAATTTCTAAGCATGATGACTACCGATCCAACCTTCAGTTATAAATTGTGCGGTGGTAAACCAGGCACATCCAAGGAGTTCAAAAATTTATTGAAATGATTGAGTGTTCATTACACATTTCTGACCGCACGCGTAATATTTTTCAATCTTTTTAAAAAAATGAAAAAAATACACATAATAGTTTATTCATCCATTTTAAATAGTTTATGAACGCATGCATAAATGTCAATCATTACTTACAGATTTTGACAAAAAAATTTGACAGCTCCGAAACTAAACAACTTTTAGGGAAAATAACGCATTTTTCAAGTATTCGTAAATTTTTCATTATTTTTAAGATGTATTCTGCTATTCGGGGCGGAGACAAATCCAACAAATCAAAAACCATGAAAATTGGTCCAGCAGATCTCGAGTTATAAGTGTTGTAACAAGCCCGACTTTCTTTTATATATATAAGATTTATTCCTTTTTTTAATTTGAAGTTGGTTCAATTTTCTTAAAGTTTTTGTTTCATGAATTTTAATGATATTTTGAGTTTAGGGGTAACAAACATCACGCATACTTAATGCAAATTTAAGACATATGGTTTTCTCATAGGATCCACTGCCTGATCAACGGCACACGGCAAGCACTAGCTTTCAAATAAAGAAAGATTCATCAAAATCATAAAAAGTTATGAGATCAAACAAGAAAAAAAAAACAGTTGAATTGAGAACCTCCTTCTTTTTTTGAAGCCGGTTAAAAATAACTTTTTAGTTCTTTGACCGTGAATCCATGTCCGGGGTATACAATAAAACTATTTTTAATAAAAACTTTTTTCTAAAAATAGAACCAACTTCAATATTTAAATAAGTGATAAATAAAACTTATCTCAAAAGCGATTTATTAAAAAAAATGCTATTAACTCGGGCAAAGGTTTCTGTAGGTTATTATTAAATGATAAGCTACTTCAAAATCTTTTCTTTTATTGATTTTCTTTTATTCGCTGTTTTTAACATTTTTAAAGATTGAAGTTGGTTCTAGTTTTTGAAGAAAGTTTATTTTCATGCTTTTGAGTGATATTGATAAATCACTAAAAATACTTCATCATCATCATTTCAGCCGAGAGACGCCCACTGCTGGGCATAGGCCTCCCCCAAAGATCTCCAAAGCGATCGGTCCTGCGCCTCTCGCATCCAGCGACTTCCCGCGACTTTCAGCAGATCGTCGGTCCACCTTGTGGGGGGCCTACCAACACTGCGTGTGTGTACCAACACAGTGACTTTCGTTCTTCTGCGGATCTCATCATTTCTGATTCGATCTCGCAAAGAAACCCCGAGCATAGCCCTTTCCATTGCCCTCTGAGCGACCTTGAGCTTCCTTATGAGGCCCATCGTAAGCGGCCATGTCTCAGTACCGTATGTCATCACTGGCAACACGCACGAATTAAAGACTTTCGTCTTGAGACACTGCGGTAGATGTTCCGAGAATACACTGCGTAGCTTCCCGAACGGTGCCCAGCCGGGTTGGATCCGTCGTCCTCCAGTGCGGCAGTTAACAGTTTCGGCGATATAACGTCGCCCTGTCTCACTCCACGCTGAAGTCGTATTGCTTTCGAGTTTTGGTCCTGGAGACGAACTGACATAGTGGCGTTTTCATACAGTGACTGCAGCACTTGGATATATCGATAGTCTATTTGTCACCTGTGGAGTGACCTAAGCACAGCTCAGGTCTCGACAGAGTCGAAGGCTTTCTCATAGTCCACAAACGCCAAGCATAGTGGCAGATTATACTCTTCGGTCTTTTGTATAACCTGTCGCATCTATGATCTGTATAACCTGTAAATCTACGTGTGAGACGATTCGTGATGACTCTCGAAAACAGCTTGTATACATGACCCAGAAGCGTGATGGGTCTGTAATTCTTCAATTGGGCCCTGTCGCCCTTTTTGAAGAAAAGCACTATCAAGCCCAAGTGCCATGCTTCTGGCGTCTTGCCGAGTATGGCGGAATTAAATAGCTTCTGAAGCGCTTTCCGGACTGGTAATCCACCCGCTTTCAGAAGCTCCGCTGTGATTCCATCATCCTTTCTGTCACGGCGCCTTGTTGTTCTTGAGCTATTTGAGAGCCACACTGATCTCGTATAGACTGACGTCCGGGATGTCTTCGGTATAATGTCGGGTTAATTTGGCTCTAGGGTCTGTAGCCTCAATGACAGGTTTCTGTGATGTTGTGTATAACTGTCCATAGAAGCGTTCGATCTCCGCCACAAATTCAGGACGGGATGTAACGACTCAGCCGTCCTCTGTCTTTAGCTTCGTCAGCAAGCTTTGTCCGAGAGACAGATCTCTAGCGAACACTTTGGAGCCTTTATTCCGCTCAATTGCCTGCTTAATACATTGAGTATTAAATTGGCGTATGTCGCGTGTGAGAGACTTCGAGATCTGTCTATTGAGTTTCCTATCTTCCATTAGCTTGCTTGTCTGCTCCGAGATCTTGCTTCTTTTTTGAGTACGGCGAGGTTTGAGAAATTTTGAACCCCCCGTAAGGACAGCTTCTACGACCCTTCCCGTTCCCGTATTAAACGAATTGATCACTGAGACGTCATTGTATATATGAGTCTTAGTCGACATGATGAAGTTGATCTCGCTTTTTATCACACCATCCGGACTCTTTCAAGTCCACTTTCGATGCAACCGTTTTTTGAAGAAGGAGTTCATCATATAGAGTCCTTCTCTCTCCATGTAGTCGGCTAGCATTTGTCCACGGTGATTTCGGATCCCAGATCCAAACTGACCCACCTTCGCTTCCTCATCGCCACGCTTGCCTAGCTTTGCGTTGAAATCTCCCATGACAACAGTGTAGTGGGTCGTAGAACCATGTGTTGCCGGGAAATGTCCTGATATATTCAACATAGTGATAGACTTAGAAAAGGACCTTTTAATTATTTGCTCGAAATAATTTTTTCCAATATTCTATACTCATATTATAAAGAGGAATAATTTGATTGAGAAGCGCGTTTGTTTGCCTTGGATAGGGCCTGAAACTATTGGACCGTTTTATAAAAGTCTGTCATCCTCGGGAAGCCGGGACATATTACGCGGGAAACAAAGGCTATAATTTACGTAGGCGAAGTCGCGGGAAAACAGCTAATTTACTTCCTTGACTGTATATTTCTCCTTATCCCATTAACCCGTCACGTTTTTGGTGGGATACCTTATATATTCCACGAATAATCTGTTAAGTAGGTACAAACGCATACTTCGGTGAGACGCTTGATTCGGATTTGCACCGACTCTAAGGTGTTTTTCATAGAAATTGTACGATGCAAGTTTAAAACTGTGCCCTGTTATAAAGTGGTGCCTTTAGGCAAGTAGATAGATGAGTAGTTTTCCTAAAGCAGTAGTCAAAATTCTGGGCTAGTGACTTGAGTAGTTAGCCTACAGTAATTTACGTATAGTAATATAATATTATGGCAAATCATAAAAAAAAAATGGATTTAGGTTTAAATTCGCATTATAATTACTTTATCTGGGAGATAAGCTATACACTAATCTGTTCCGATAAAGCCCGGTTTCATAAACTGGTGACTAGTTAAAATTTTAACTTACGATATTTTAACCCCTTTTCTTTTATAAATTAATTTCTTTATTTTTTTCTATAAAACAATAAATTGAGAAATATTATCTACTTAGTACACTATACGGTTTAAATTTATATGTGGTACATCGCGAAATAGAGAAGCTATATTTATGAATCTGTCTTCTACCTATTAAACTAATCAGTACTAAATTACTAAGTGTAAGTATTGTGTATATAACCGAAAATATAACAAAAACCATTCTAATCAAGAAAGTTTTTCGTTTTGGTATGTGATATGTAAACAAAAGGTTGGTGAGTTCTACAACCATCCGTTAGTTGATAAAAATAATTTAACTCGATTATTAACCACGAAACTGTATAACTGGCCATAGCTTCCTTACAAAAGATGCGTTTGCTCAACCCTTTCAAACAGTACCCTTTGGTATTGCACACAATATGCTTCAGTTGATATTTCTGAGCGTATTAGTGGGCGCGGCTGTTGGTGGGCAGTCGCCAAACGCCCAATTCGTACAAAGGACCTATGGATCAAATCCCAAATTCTCTTCCGATATACTCGAAGATGCCACGTTGGATGTGGTGAGCTAATAGTAATCTTTTTATATGAATATTATGCGCCAGAAATTCAATATTTATCCATAACATTTATTTATTTCTGTTTTTTTCTCTATTTAAAAATATATAGCAATTCATAAACGATAGATCCAGTTATTAATTTTAATGATATATTCACATATATTTTGACCTAGATGACTCTGTGTGCTTTGTATCAATTCTTACCTTTTAAACCTTCCCTGGACTATGTCTGCTCATGCTAAATCGGCCCAGTCGTTCTCAAAATTTATCGAGACAAACGAACAGCAATTGATATACTTACAGATATTTAAAAATATTCACAAATATTTGTATCCTTAATTATCACCATAAATTGTTTGTCGGAGAATTCTCAGGGCATTAACTTCGCCTATGTACATTTGTGCATTATACATTAAACAAATAATATTTTTGCAGCCTGGCCTAGTCACTAAATATGGCTACCCAATCGAGATCCACGAAGTCACCACCTCTGATGGTTACAAGCTGACCATGCATCGCATCCCCTATGGAAGGGCAGGAAACAATGACCCAAATACTCCAAGACCTATAGTGTTCTTAATGCACGGCCTTCTATCTTCCTCTGCTGATTTTCTTGTGCTTGGACCAGGGAATGCATTAGGTAAAATTAAATTCTATATTATCGGCAAATGCCCGTTTCGTACATTGCTGAGATTGCTTAAGTCCTAATTGAAGTATCATCTGCGACTGTGGAGCTTCAGTAATTTTCACAAGAACCTGTCACGGAATGGGTGACCAAAATGCTTTGTCTTCGCAATAACAGATTAATAATATTTACATATTATTACATATATTTACATTATTATATATTTACATTATTATTATTATTATTATAACAGCTATTTTATATTTAAACTGAGTAATTTCACTAAGTAAGAAGGTAAATAGCTGAATCATGACGTGATTAAGGGTTTGGCCTAGATAAAGGCGGTACATACCTATGTATCTAAAACAAGGTCACGAAATTTCTATATTACCTTCGACTATACAATTTATTTTAACTAATCTTCCATAAAGTCACATTCTTTTATCAATACTTGACGCAAATTGTGGTATTTTATTACCGAAGGAGAAGGTTTTGTAATGGTAGCAAGGTTATGACTATATAATTTAAGTCATACAAAAGAAATTAATTAAAAATGAGGAGTTCGATAGCGCAGTGGTTAGCGCGTTCGGTTTGCGGTGCGGAAGTGAAGCAACTACCGCGAAGGTCGGTCATAGGATGGGTGACCAAATTTTATCATATTGAGTTCCTCCGTGCTTCAAAAGGCACGTACAGTAGTTAATATCAACTAATGCGCAAAGGCCCGCGTACTGAATGACACGCATTACCTTTTTGATACCATTTATGGGAAAGGCCAATTTCCCAGCAGTGGGGATATTAGTATGATGATTAAAATGATGATCATGATGATGACGATGAAGAAATTAAAAGTACCATCATTTTTCCAGGTTACCACCTTGCCGACGAAGGTTACGACGTATGGCTAGGCAACGCCCGTGGTAACTTCTACTCGCGCCGTCACAAAACCTTAAACCCAGACGCTAGGATCAACCAGAACTTCTGGAGATTCAGCTGGGACGAAATCGGCAACCGCGACCTGCCAGCGTTCATCGACCACATCTTAGCGACGACTAAGCAATCTAAACTCCACTATATTGGCCATTCACAAGGAGGCACTTCGTTTTTGGTGTTGACTTCGTTGAGACCACAGTACAATGAGAAGTTTATTTCTTTCCAAGGCCTAGCACCTGCCTCCTTCTTTACTAATAACGACGATTCTACTATCACATCTTTGGCTTCTATGGAAGGTATATTAGAGGTTAGTATATTGTACCAGTTCCAAGTTCTTATTCTTTTTTTTTAATTATTTGCGTTGCTCTTGTGGATTTCGCAAGAATCCAGTTTGTACGAGTTGATGTGTGTAAGTGTAATGCTAATTTTTTTAATAGACTACAAAAAAGGATATTTGGAATCAATTCGACTGTTATTTTTTTTTATTATGTTCTACGATTTTTATGTTATTTATTTATTTACTTACTCCGTTCTCTTCGATTGACACTAAAAATACTAAAAATACTTTCCGCTATCTATGACCAAAATACAAAATAAAATTATTTGTTTATAATCATTTTTAATGAACAACCAAAGCAGTCAATGAATCCATAAAACCTTAGGTATGTATTCGTACGAGGATTATTTAAAGTATTCGTAAAATAACAGGTCCCTCTTGACACTTCTAAAAGAAGATAGAACGTAACGTTGTACGGTTCGACGTAATAGGAAAGAAATTATATTTAAGTAACTAAATTAAAAAGATAATATATTTTTATATTAAAATAAAAGCATTGCTTAGTAGCACAAAGTATACTTTAAGTGTTATTATTACGCAAATTATTTAAAAAAAACTTTATTTACTATGTAACGTTCCAAAAACAGTTACGTTTTCGATCTTTTTTTTTCTTTAATATAGTATCGTGGCCAAGTTAATCGTATATTTTCTTATACTTTAGATATTCGTTTTTCATTAAAGTCCGCAACAATAACCATATTTCATAATAATACTTAGACTACATAATAAATGTTTTGTGTATTCATATCGGGTACTATTGTATCTGTTTCGCGTCAAGTTATTTATCATACACCATAAAAATCGATATATTTATATTTAAATATAAATTGTTATAATGTTTACGCTATATCAAAGGTAAATTGTTATGATTTAATAAAATGTGAAGAACTTTTAACGATTGAGGCATTTCCTTAAAATCAAAGAAAATAAAGTAATATGCTAACATTTTCATTCTAATTACGATCATTCATTAGGTTGATCTGAAAACAGAAAATCAATTACACATGATACTGCGAAACAGTATTGTTTTAAAATTGTTTTGCATATTTTTGTTTGTTTTCACTAGTGGAAATCGTGTTAGTTCCAGTTGAAATTGCAAAACTTCCGTTGGTTATTTTGTGTATAAATGACATGTGTCAAAAGGGACCTCTTATTTTGTGAAGACTGTAGTATGCTATCCTTTTACCAACCGGATTTCAAATGAAGATCGAGAATTAATTTTTGTGCTGGAGTACAAGCATCCCCTATTAAAAGATGTATTTATGAAGAACAGGGGGCTTTTAGTCTAATATTAAAATCTATTGCAATCTCTTTCAATTTGACCTATTTGAAAGAAATTTTTTGGACACATAGAGCTAACAATATTTTTACTTGAATCATACTAAAGACTTTTTATACTTTCAGCCGGCTGCTTTTGCATTAGGTATGGGTGAGGTATTTGGAGATCGTGATTTCATTTCCTGGCTAATAGAAAACCATTGCAGCCCTGGTTCGATATTGGAATCGTTCTGCGGATCGCTGTTGGTCACTGGAAGATCTGAATATTTTAACGAGGTGAGTTTTTGAAATACTAATTTTAATATCTTTAGATTGACGTCGTCAAGGAGGCCACACATGAAATAAATGTACTCATTTTTCTTTCCTTTTAATTGAGACCTCGAAATTATCTTATTGAGAGCTCCGTTTCCGTTTCTCACACGCCGGTTTCAAGGTGTCGACATTTTCCCGCTCCTCCCAAGAAAACCCATTAATCGGGGGATCGAGATAAAAAATCTCGACGCTCCTGCCAATCGGTGTACAGGGAATAATCTAAAATCTTTTTTTCGTCTCGCTTCTGCGGCCCTTTTGGATTGCGATAGTTTTTTAAATTACATTATTGGGTCACTGAGCAAATTTATATGGTTACATATAATATTTATTTATTTTTATGTATTATGTTTTTATTTTCATTAACCGATACTTTATTAGACTTAATGATAACATATTACTAATATATTACCTACTGGGGCTGGTATTACTTTTTTTGTTGAAATGCACATGTCACCTTTTTATCTAATCTAAGCTTGGTTATTAAATATTACGACAAATTTAAAATTGTTTGAACAGTAATTCTTTTGTCATTGTCGATATTCATGATAATTATATAGAATATAAGACAACAAGTCCATATACCTTATTATCTTTTGTTTATCTTTAAAATCTTCCGTTATAATTGAAAAGGTGAAGACTGTTATTGTATTATGAATGTATCCAATAGTATGAATGAATGAATGAAATATTCCTTATTGTACATACACCATGCAGTTAAAAATTTACAGATTATAATCTATCAGTCAGTACAATCGGCCTTATCGCTTAGACGCGATCTCTTCCAGGCAACCGTTACAGAGAGGACAAAATAAATTATAATTACGGCGTCTAATAGAATCTTTATCGGTTTTATGAAGGTAGCTTATACTTTTAATTGAAAAGACAATCAACACCTTGGTCTTATGTGAACAAGGAACCTTTAAAGGGTCCAAAACGTCAATAAAACTAAATACAAACGCGATGGAACCGTTTAAAAGTTGTTCCATTTATGGATTGGTAATTGTAATGGAATATAATACTTTCCGTTGCGACTTTTATGATTTTGCTAGTCATAACAACGCATAATGGCAAATATCTGAATGTATGCACGTACATTTTTAAATATTTTTATTTAAACTTTTAATATTTATCGTTCCTGAAGGAAAATTCATGATGATCGATTCTCTGTCTTGAGTTTTACCCGACTTTTAATATATTTTATTTTGTTTGAAACAAAATCTGTAGTAATAGGGTATTATACCTATATTTGAAAAGTATCTCAATTCAATCCTAATAAGCCATGGAAAAATATATGAAATATTTATGCGCTCCAATTGGGCAAAATGCTGGACGCCATGTTGCTCTGTAGTTGTGACATCACTTGGTTTTGTAAACAAACGCGTTGCTTTTGGATTATAAAATATAATGCACTTTTATCAAATTCAAACAGTCTAAGAAGACAGTACTTACATCATTGTCTTAACATTCAGTAATACAGCAGAATAAAAGTTTCCTTGAAAAGCTTTCGGACGATAAATCTATTGGTACGTTTATGCGTTCTTCCTTTACAAAACCCTATTACATGTTCCATTTTAATGAAAATGACTGCTTCTTTATTACGTTGTTAAAAGCTTCAAAAAAAAAACCTCTAAAAGTATTGTTGAAGAATCATCATAGCAATAACGTATCCTCATTGATTAATACACAAAAGATAAAATTAAAGAACTTTCGAACATCTACAGCAAGGTGTATGTTTGTGCGTTTATGCATATCCATCTTAATTTAATTATTTTAATGGTTTTTTTTTTCTTATACCAGACTATGGAACCAATATTCATGGGTCACGCTCCAGCAGGTGCGTCCGTCCGCCAGTTCGCCCATTACGGTCAAGTTATTAGATTCGGCAAGTTCCGCCGCTTCAATCACAACAGACTAACCAATCTCGCGACATACGGCTCTTTTACACCGCCAGAGTATAAAATTGAGAGGATCACGACACCCTCTTATATCCATTACGCCACAGCTGATACTCTGGTTCATCCGAAAGACGCCCAGTTACTATGCAGCAAATTGCCAAATTTAAAAGGTTGCTATTTGGTACAGAGTGAAACATTCGACCATTACGATTTCATTTGGGGAAATCGCGCTAAGATTCGTGTGTATGAGAAAGTTTTGAGATTGATGAGGGAGGCTGAACAGAATTAAATGAAGATCAGCCTTTTTTCAATTAATTATCTACTGTCACTGATCGTCTTATTATAAAACGAGGAAAATATAAACCGTTGGCTGCTCAAATCAAATTGACACAAGACAAAACGTCAAACGCGTGTTGACTTAATGAGGGCTAACCTATTCTCTATGGGCTCACGCTTTTGACTTTGCCACTAGAGGCGTAAGTGTAGCGTGAAGTCTTCACAATGTCAAATACTATACATTGTCGGTGAACTACGCGCGTTTCTTTTGATTAAAAACAAATTTCACATTAATTATGAATTACGAATCAGTAAAAGTCAGTGCTTCAAAACATAGCTAAAAAAAAGAGGTGCAACATTAAATGGAATTAAAGAACAGCTAAATTAGAGGTTCGGGCACGTTCGATATTTTTATTAAAATGATTTATTTATATATAAGTTCAATCTCTTAATAAACAAACTTTGACAGGCCCTCTTACGACTATCGCGCTATCGGGTAAGCGAAATCCGGTAGCCCTCATTTGGTTGGATACATGTTTAAACCTGGTTCGTTTTATAATAAGACGCAGAGTATTCTGAAAGAAAACAAATATTATCGAGCTACAAGATTACGACTGAAAATTAAAAAAGATACTTTATAACAGAAGCATCTCTATTTAATTATTAAGACTATACGTTATTCAACTGTTTATAATAAAAATAAACTTAAAAAATACATCAGTTTATTTATTGAATGTCCTATTTTAATATTAATATTCGTAAACATACCAAGGGAAGTTTTACAGTTTTTGTAATGAAAGAAAGAAAGGAATTAGAAATTTTATGTGCTTACTTTGCAGGCGGGTAGTAATAATAATAATAATATATATAAAATTCACAACCTATACCTTCGAATACAGAATATTATTTTGCATAATTTTAAAAGATATACATTTTGAAAGAAATACCCTTCTATTAATATAATTTTCTTTAATTGTTTATATAAAACTTATGTACCTACGGTGTAGTACCGGTATAGAATTGTACTACCCCTTTTCATCCCGTGGGTGTCGTAAGAGGCGACTAAGGGAAATTTAACTCAAGGAGATGGGCAGCAGCGTCTTCTTGTGCGGGCCACAGAACTGGACCATACTGCGATCGCCAACCCGCTTGCCCAGCGTGGCGATTATGGGCATATCCCCCAAATGCAAAGGCACAAAAGGCCACGGCCCCTAGTTCCCGTCGGCCTCGCTATTCCTGGTCATGGTGGCGACCATGGTAACGGCGAGGCAGGGGGTGCTAAGAATCTCCGGGCTACGGGAGGCCACCACAACCGACTGACCCTGGCGACGTACAACGGACGCACGCTACGGCTTGACTCGCATCTGGCTCAACTTGAGGTGGAGCTTGGAAAGATTAGGTGGCACATATTGGGATTGTGTGAAGTCCGAAGAGAGGGGGAGGATACCATAACCCTCGAATCAGGCCACCTAATGTACTTCCGCGAGGGAGACCAACAATCCCAAGGTGGCGTTGGGTTTCTTGTCAATAAGTCCCTTTCTGACAACGTTGTAGAAATTTCCAGTGTGTCGAACAGGGTGGCGTACCTGATTGTAAAGCTCACTGAGAGGTATAGCCTCAAGGTTGTTCAAGTGTACGCACCGACCTCGACACACTCGGACGATGAAGTGGAGAATATGTACGATGATATATCGAGGGCACTCCACTTCACTACTAAGACCCACTACAGCGTTGTTATGGGGGACTTTAACGCTAAAGTGGGAGTACAAAATTGCGGCGAATCGGTAGTAGGATCCCATGGATTTGGAAGCAGGAATGATAGGGGGCAAATGCTCGTTAACTTCCTCGAACGGGAGGGGCTCTTCCTTATGAACTCGTTCTTTAAGAAACAGCCCCAAAGGAAGTGGACGTGGCAAAGCCCCGACAATGTGACAAAAAATGAGATCGACTTCATTATAACGGACAAAAAGCACGTATTCAGAGATGTCTCCGTGATCAATAGGTTTAACACCGGCAGCGATCACCGACTTGTCCGAGGCTCTCTGAATATCGACTTCAAAGCTGAACGTGTCCGCTTGATGAAGGCCAGGCTCCGACCTACTCCTCTCCAAACCATGATGGAATCTGAAACGTTTCAGTCAAATCTTGAGAACCGATTCGCTGCCATGGAAACCACAATTGACGTTGACGAGAACCTTGAAAATGTGGTTCGAATACTCAGGGAAGAAGGTACGAAATTTTGTAGCATGCAGCGTAAGGGCGGGAAGTCTAAGCTCTCCGATAGAACTTTGGGGCTAATGAAGGAACGACGTGAAAACCCACCTGTCACTTCGTCAGGAAAACGTGCTCAAAACCAGGAGATCAGCAAACGCGTACGATATGACCTCCGGTGCTCCAACACTCACGCTATAGAAAGAGCGATCGAGCAAAACAGGGGGTCAAAAGTATTCGTACAATCTCTTGGAAGAAGCCACTTGACGAAGTTGACCACAGCAAGCGGGGAAGTCGTTGCTTCGAAGCCAGCGGTCCTCTCGGAGGTGGAAAATTTCTATGCCCGGTTATACGCTTCGCATGCATCTCGACCTGATCCCGGAAATGAGGATTCTAGAGCCACATTAACACGCCACTACACCGAAGATCTGCCAGAAGTCAGCATTGGCGAAATCGAGATCGCTCTGAGACAGCTTAAAAATGGAAAAGCCCCTGGAGAGGATGGCATTACAACTGAATTATTAAAAGCAGGAGGTAAACCGGTACTAAAGGAGCTCCAAAAGCTTTTTAATGCCGTCCTCTTCGAAGGGAGAACTCCGCAGGCGTGGAGTAGGAGTGTAGTCGTCCTGTTCTTCAAAAAGGGAGACAAAACCCTGCTGAAGAACTATCGACCCATTTCCCTTCTAAGCCACGTCTATAAGCTGTTTTCTAGAGTAGTCACGAACCGTCTTGCGCAAAGACTTGACGAATTCCAACCACCGGAGCAGGCTGGGTTTCGGAGTGGATACGGCACCATAGACCACATCCACACAGTGCGGCAGATTATACAGAAGACTGAAGAGTATAATCAGCCCCTGTGTCTAGCATTTGTGGACTATGAGAAGGCCTTTGACTCGATTGAGATCTGGTCCGTTCTGGAGTCCCTGCAGCGATGCCAAGTCGATTGGCGATACATCCAAGTGATAAGATGTATTTATGAGGCCGCCACCATGACCGTCCAAGTACAGAATCAGCAAACAAGTCCTATACCGTTGCATCGAGGAGTGAGACAAGGAGACGTTATGTCTCCGAAATTGTTTACTAATGCAATGGAGGATATGTTTAAGACGCTGAACTGGAAAGGACGTGGCATCAACATCAATGGCGAGTACATCTCTCACTTGAGATTTGCTGACGACATCGTCATCATGGCAGAAAATCTGCAGGACCTACAACAGACGCTGAATGATCTGGCTGACTCTTCTATGCGCATCGGCCTACGGATGAACTTGGATAAAACCAAGGTCATGTTCAACGAACACGTACTACCGGAACCGATTGCAGTGTGCGGTGCCGTTCTCGGAATTGTTCAAAAATATGTATACCTCGGGCAAACATTGCAGTTAGGTAGAAACAACTTCGAGAGCGAGGTAAATGGAAGAGTTCGGCTAGGTTGGGCAGCGTTTGGGAAACTACGTCAGGTCTTTACATCGTCGATCCCGCAGTGCCTAAAGACAAAAGTCTTTAATCAGTGCGTCCTACCCGTGATGACATACGGAGCCGAAACGTGGACACTGACGGCACGGCTGGTCCACAAGTTGAAGGTCGCTCAGCGCGCTATGGAAAGGGCTATGCTCGGCGTTTCTCTGCGGGATCGAATCAAAAATGAGGTGATCCGGCAGAGAACCAAGGTTATCGACATAGCTCACCGGATTAGCAAGCTGAAGTGGCAGTGGGCTGGCCATATTAGCCGCAGAACCGATAACCGTTGGGGTAAACGAGTTCTTGAGTGGAGACCGCGTCTCGGCAAACGTAGTGTAGGACGTCCTCAGGCGCGGTGGAGCGATGATTTGCGCAAGATAGCTGGCAGGAGCTGGATGCGAACAGCCGAAAATCGAAATAGATGGCGTGCAATTGGGGAGGCCTATGTCCAGCAGTGGACGAATATGGGCTGATGATGATGATGATGATAAAACTTATGTAGTTACCTTTAAGCATATTACACTCATTTAATCTAAACCCACATTATACTAGTATGCGTTATCTACGTATTTTTTTTTAAATATAAAAATATATTGCGGATATCTAGTTGGTCAATAAAACAGTGAGCGACCTATCAATGAAAGTGAGAAACAGAAATTACCCGCACGCCGCACGCTGGTATCAGACAGTGTAATGATAATACTTCCGTCTTCATGAGAGTTTGTATTTACTTATAATTACAATAAGTATCTTGTTGGAATAAAACAGAGGAGGTTTTTAAACCCCTCAAACCTTATGAGCATATAGAATACTTAAGTTTACATACTTCCAGTATATCATCGAATGTATCCTTATATCTTTGTCAAATAAATAATATCAATAATATTAATTATTTTATGATTCTATTGACTTAAGCTGAATGTCATATAAATCTTTCGATAATAGAAATTTAGTAAAAGATAAGTGTATTGTTTCTAAAAATTTAATGATAGGTCATTGTTTTTATAGAAATGATTATAAATATCCGCGTATTAGAGTCATTGTCAGTTTAAAGTAGACTGATTTATAAAGTGATTTATGATGAATGATTATCAAAAAAATATTATCTTTATATACAGGGTTATTTGTGAAATACTACATCATCAGGACTAAATAGCTACATCATAAACAACGTCTGATCTTCGAGTTTTAATACAAAATTTTATAAAAAATAATATAAATTAAAAAAAAATTTAAATAATATAATATTATTTCAAATTTTTATTATACTGTCGTAACTCTTTTAAGCAGTGATAGAGATAGGATTAATAGCTTACACTTCGAAGAACAGAGAGGAAAAGCGGAGACTTCTTTAATACTACATTTTTTCCAGGAAATCTGCCCCAAAATTCACGACAACCCACTTTATTTAACACAAAAAGGGAAGATGCTATAGTTGTCTTTAGCTACATGACGCTACGCTTGCACGCTGTATGGTTGAAGTATATTTTTAATGTTTTTGCGTCTAGTGTTATTAACATTACATCCGACGTTTAAATTCAAAGTATATTTTTAATGTTTTTGAGTCTAGAGTTATTAGCATTACATCTGACATTTAAATTCATATTATTTCTGTATGACAGTAACATATTAATAATTGTAGAACAACGGTTAATTGTTTCTAATGTAAGCTATTTGTAATGAGACTTATTGGTGTTTAATAATTCAAAACAATATAATGATAGAATCTTTGATTCTTCAATTACTCTTGATGACGTGATCTTTTTCGATATTTAAGGTATGTTTTCTTAGCTTTCCTCCAGCGGCTTCGCTCGTGTGGTCACTAGGGAACTGTTTAACGGGAAAAACTCTATATCGACGCTGGAAAGTAAATACGTAGCAACCCACAAAACTATTTTTTTTCTATAGAACAGAATATTTTTTTATTATTTTAAATAGTATATTTTTATAAACGTCCATGGTAACAAATATATAGGGTTACCAAACCCTTTATTTAATATTTTTTTTTCCAAAAATAAGAAGTTTTTCTGCTATGTTAATCCAGGCTGAGAATTATCCATATACCTTCATCAAAATTCGTTCAGTAATTTTTGCGTCATACAGCGCGTTGCACAAACGTCCATTAAAATTGACATTAGTTTAAAGCGACATTACCCATACAAATATGACATTCATTAGAGCTTAAAGCCGTCATTAAAACCTAATGAAAGTTTGTGCATCTGAACGATAGTCACCAATTCACGAACCCCTTTTTTACAATAACCAATTGGTAAGATTAATAAATACATCAACCTTTTATTTAACAAATAAAAATATTTTTGTTAGTTGATACTGTATAAAATTATAATAAAATACAGTTCGATTTTTATATCATACTTATCAAATGTTGTGGATTAGTGGAGTTGAAATAAAACAAATCTTAATAAATAGTTTTATGAGTGTATTTTCGATATTCCGTTTCGCGACAGATACAGGCTTAATTAGGTTATTCAATATTTACATAGAGCAGTAAATGTAAAATATGAAAAACTGTTTTAGGACAAAAACAGTCGTGTTACATGCTTATTATAAATAAATATTGCAACGGACTCGGAAGAAAAAAAAATATAGAAGAAACAAAGTTCAAATAAAAACAAAAGTAAAAGGGTATAACTAAAAAGTGAAAATGTAATTAAACATAAAAAAAAAACAAAATCTGGCAGCAATCAGAACTCATCCGTGTGATCTTAAGCCAATTTTGCTTACGTACAAAATTACCAAGATACTTTTAATAATCGAAAGATCTTAAATCAACACTTACACAAAGATATATAAACAACTTTTAAAGAAGATTTGCGAAATGCAAAACCGCGTACACATTATCGAGCTGTAATTGTAACCGTACACATACAGTAACGTGGTTCTTATGTTTACTGTTAATGAGTGAAATCATTTCACTTGGGAAGTCTACAGACCTATATTTTATCGGCTTGCTGTGAGCCGTGTACATACACTAGGTATGATTTTTAATAACAGTAACATGCAAATGTTAAATCTGCCGATCTTGAAATGGTCATAACTTTCAGTTACCTTTCAGCAATAGTATCGATTGATGAATATTGATTTGTAATAATATCGATATTGTGACTATTCTTCAAGGTCCAACACTCGACAAATAAATTATCGATAAATCTACAACGCTTGGACAATCCGCAAAATAGTGTCTCCTTAAAAACTGCTAGCAAAAGGCGAATAAGATATTTAATATTGCACTTACTCAAAACATATAAGTATAGACGGGGCCTGGAACCCACCACGCTGGCCCATTGCGGGTTGGTGGGTTATTGCACTAGTCAACGTAGTTAGGTACAATTCCTTAAATTAGTCGTTGGTTTAGAATAATAATAGGTTAAGAACTTATCAATATAGTCCTGAAGGCATGTCTGTTACTTTATGCAGACCAAAGTTATTAGAAGATCCCACGGGAGACAGTGTTTTCTTCAAATCACCGTGACTATGAGTGCCAGTCATCACAAGACTCGTCATACTAGCTGGTGCGTCTCTCATAATATGGTTTCCAGAGTAAAAACCTGCATTGCTATGACCACGCTTTACCAGGAATGTACCGTTGTATGAGGCATTATGGTTGTCGAAAGAACCAGTACTCAGTTTTGGTTGTGGTAAGAAAAACCTTTGCGTTGGTGTATCTGTCTTCCCTGGCTCTTCTTTACCTTTGTTGCTAGATGATCGGGTATCAAATCGTTGGTAAAAACTGTTAAGTCTACTATTCGATCTTGTGATCGGAACCAAAGGAGTTTCCTTTCCAGCGTCACTGCTTGTTCTCGAACAAGATCTTTGTCTTCTCTCGTAAGGCCAAGACGGCTTTTTGGGTTCTGCAAGCATGACAATATCCACCATTGCATTCAGTCCTTCATCGATTCTGTCCAAACTTTTTGTTAACTTTTTGGATTCAATTAAACTTACTATTTCATCTACTCGACTGCATTTAGAGTTAGATCTTTGCAGTGGTATGGTCGAACCTATAGAATTATGTGTTTCGTTATAAAACATACTATCAATATATTCGCGTTGCCGTGAGCCTTTTTCAGATGTTTGAAAAGATTCACTACGTTTAATAGACGTTTTTCTTGTTTCGTCCCTAGATCTGGTTCTTTGTCGTTTGCCTCTATTACAGTCGAGTTTATCCTTTTCAACTAAGGAGTTGAACATCGCACGGCATTCACGAAAATCAAAACTAGATCCTGATGGTTTTTTTGTGATTTGATTCTGACACCGAGATGCACTCAGTAGAGAATCTGATTCTTCGTCACTCGAATAAAAGGTATCGTCGTATAAATCTGGTGGTTTATATAGAAGTCCTTGGTCAGCCGGTGGGTTAAATAAATGTATCAAGCTTTTTGCTTTTCTAGGTGGATGAGGCAAAATTTTGCTCGGCACTATTTCCGTTTCTTCATCGTCTTCGTTACTTTCGAGAGCAAATTCACCGCTGCTAGTTATTTGAATGCTATGCCGTGTGCTTGTGATTGAATCCTCTTTCTCATCTTCTTTATGTTTGTTGCATTCTAATGTTTTGACAGGAACATTGATTTCAGAAGTTTGATTGCACCTAGAGGATCGATCATCGGCGTATACTTCATCTTCTTTCTTGAATTGTTCTGTTTCTGCATGATTAACTATATTTCTAAGTTCTTGGATTACTTCATCAATGGTTGTTTCATCCTCTTCATCAGAAGATTTTTTGTGGTCGTTAATCTTTTTGTTACATTCTAATTTTCTATGCAAAGGTCTTTTGTTTCGAATTAGATCGTATGTTTCATTTTTGACGTTGAAAACTTCATACACCATAGAATCGCGTTGTGGGTCTCCATCAGGACTTAACGATCTTTCCGAGGAACTTATACCTTCATCTTCTGGGGGAGATGATTCATCTGAAAATATTAGCAATTAGTTAAGCATTAAGTGCGGTGTTTTTTGATTGAGTTTTGGTTGTATTATTTACAAGTAGCAAAAAAAGTATACAACCTATCTTTTTTAATATTGTTTTTAGTTTTTGCTAAAATTTTTATATTGTTAACAAATGAAATCACGTACCTCTATTTGGGTGAACAGAGTTTTTTTTCTTCATGCCAAATGACTTCTTTCTATTAGAATTTCCATGTTCTGATCTTAATGAAGACACCTCTTCCTGCAGTTCACAGCACTTTTCTTTCAGACATTTTTCTAAAGACAGCAAAATACCCTTTTCTTCTTGCAATATTTTTACTCTTTTCTCAAGCAATTCTAACTTATGTCGGAGGTCATCTTTTTCTTTCAGAGCTTCGTTAGCCTTTTCACTTAACGTGTCAATATCAATAAGTTGCTTTTCATATCTTTCTATTTCCTTTGACACTTGTTCATTTTTGTTAGGTAACTTGCAGACCATCTGAAAAAAATGTGGGTACATTTAATAATCAGAAAACTAAGTTTTGAAATATATGTTCATTAATTTTTCAAAAACTCAATTCATTATAAGTTATCGACATAATGACCTTTTTTAATGTAATAATATCGAATCCGGCTTGTTCCAATTCAGCTTGGATGTATAACTTCCTTTGGGGGGTGGAGGCACTGATGAGTAAAGCGTTAATGAATCCTAGACCAGCGGCTTGAAGGTCTCCAGAGCCACCTGCGCTCTGTAGCATACCCACGAGAAATCTAAAGCGTACAGGTTCACCGTACCGCAGTCGGAGGGTAGAAAGTGACTCGGAAACTGTGCTGTGCCCATTGGCCGGTGGGTAGCAAGCTTTCGTGAGAAGCTGGAACATAAATATATATATTGTATATATTTTTTTCTATTTAAACAGTAAGAATACAACCTCGACTTACATTTAGTAGGCTAACTTATCTGCAATCCTTTAGAACTATATTCTTCGTTATGGGAATATATAGAAAATATAATAATATATAACACTCACTTGTAATGCTAGTATTCTAGATTTATTAACAGTAGACATGATGCATGCTGTTAGTGTGTACACCCCATTTGAACCCGTCACTAGTCTCCTCACGCAGTCAGGGTACCTGGTGCAGCAGCTCCACAGACATTGTCTGGAATCATTAGAATTACTTCTTAATTAATTTAAAAAAAAAATCATAAGTTTTTAAATTTGGATTAAAAAAACATTTAACCAGTAATTATAGATTTTATGAAATTCGAAAAACGATACCTTTTATTGTGAATTACAGGTAGAATTATAAATATGTACTAAGTCCAGGATCCATTGAACTCAATTTGGGAAAATAATCTAGCCTAATGTAAACAGATCCCTGACTCTAAAATGTTTGTGTTACTAGTTACTTAAAGATAACATTAACACACAAAAATATACTCACAAACAAGCCAGTTCGTCCAACAAAGGTCTTCGTCTGACAGCTGGCGGTCCACGCGCGCCTTCTCCCGACTGACTGAGCTGCACGTTGCGCAGGAGTTCCAACAACAAAGCAATGCCATCTAGTGGTTCGCATGCGAATTCTTGAACAAAACTGAAATTAATATTTTTAAGCGACGATAAAGATTTATAGCAAAATTTTTAAACCGATCATGAATAATAAATAGAAACCAAGTGTCTTTTAAAACAAAAAATGTCAGTGACAAGAAACAGCCAGAATCTCATAGTGGCTTGACTCTGATAGAGAGCTCACTTTGGAGACATAAGACAAAATTAAATTCTAACCATAAATAAAATTTTTGAGATATTGGAATAATTCAAAGTATTTTAGCAGAGCCTAAGTCATTGCACAAAAAATATGTAAATTACTGATAAATTTAAGATAAACTGTAGTAAATATTGTAACAAAATCTCTAGTGCAATATTGTCATGAAATTAGTTTAGATTTAAGTGTGGTATGATGGGGTTGACGTTTTCAAAAGAATAAAAACCCCACAAATTAAAATAAAAAAATATGTATTATTTTACAAATTATTTTAATTTATTACATCAATTATGTCCTATAACTGTGTTGAATAATTTAATTTGAATTTAAATCTCAACAGCACAGTGGCTATGATACGTTTGGTCTGCGATATGATTATTAAGCAACTTTTACAAGGACCGGTTATAGGATGACTGATTGAAATTTATTATCTAGAACTCCTCCGTGCTTCCGTGCCCAGATGCATCTGCAGTCGGTAACACCCAGCCATTCACACTGGGCCAGCATGGTGGGCCCTTTTCCCTATTAGATTCGATTCCATCCCTAAGGATGATTATCATAATTTTGTTTCCATATGATGTAAACAAATATTTATCTTTATTCGAATAATCTGCGACATATCTTATCTATTAAAAGATTGTTGTTTAGTAAACTTCTATATAAAATATAATCAGGCGTTATCTCACCAAAGTCTATTGTGAAACTATATCTATATACATATTTTTATCCTATGGTAAAGTATGTGGCCCAGTTGTGGGCATATTAATAGGCTGGTGTCGGCAATAATAATGAATCAGAATTAACTTGCCTGTAATGGCAGATTTTATTTAATATATAAGTATCAAAAATAGCTTGGCGCCATTTAGTCGCCAAGTGAAATGTAAATATAAGTGCCCAAGTTCCATTAAGGTGGAATGAAAAGCAAACACCAGCATATAATTTGTGGAGTATTAAGAAAAATGACGTCGCCGTCCGCCAACCGCTTCTGTGAAATGACCCTTGCAATTTCAAATACAAAAACTAAAAATGTGCGGCCGCGAAATAAGCGGTTTCATAGATTGTGGAGTCACCATGAAAGTAAGGAAAATTATTTTTCAAAATATTATTTTTATGTCGCAATGTCGTCGCTGTAATTTTTTTTGCATGCTATTTATAGCGAATATTATACGGATCATTCTGTTAATATTTTAAGTATTACTTTTACTTACTATAATAACTCGATCAAATTGAAATTATGAGACATATGGTTCTTTGGTTGCGGCTGAAAATCAGTGTTGCGCTTATTGTGGCATACTCTATAGGCAATTTTAGGCTTTTGACATGTTTAAGTATTTTTGAGGTTTCATGTCAACAAGGAACTTTTATAGATTTATCATGTCCGTTTGTTTGTCTGTCCATCCCTCAGTTCACCTGTGGTTTAGCTCAAAAACGATTAATGTTAGAAAATTGTAATTTGTCATAATATGGAACGTTAATCATGCCGACATAGAGATTAAATATAAAATTGAAAAAAAAATTGCACTTCCACTCTAATACAAAGTGGGGATTATATTTTTTTGTTGTTTTTGTTGTTAGAAGTTCAGACCTCACGGCAGTAGTACCAATATATAAATAAAAGAAAATCTATTGTTTGTCTGCCGATCGTACAAATAAACTTTTACAGTGCTACTTATAAACAAAGTTTAGCGTTGGAGTAAATTTATGCTGAGACTGCTCTTCGTATAAGTCAGAATTCATATTATAAAACAGAGGCTTAACAAAGGTTAACCTAGTATGAGGTTCTACGGAAGTAATATTTGCTCTTAGAAGGTAGTAGATTTGCTTATTCTCTGTATAATATGGATAACATTAGCGTAAATTTACTCTGACGCTAAACCTTGTTGCTGTTGCACTGCAAATCTATATATTTATATAATACTTTTCCCGACTTCAAAAAAGTTAATGCTGAAAGAATGTTATTTTTTCCTTAGAGTATTACATTTTTCACACTTTGAATGTGATAAATGTCATTTATTTTTTATAAGCTATTTATTTGTCTTCTATAAAAGTTCCGTGTTTTTTTTTTTCATTTTGACGTATATGTTATGATTGTACGCATTTTGGCTATGAAAAATCATCCAATCTAAAATTCCAAGAAAAGTAGACAAAGCTTCCGTATTATTCAGTATCTGAGACAACTAAGGTACCACAACACCCAGACCCAAGATAATAAGGAAAAGTCCATTTAATACATTGTTCCGACCGGGAATGGAACCCAGAACCTCAGAGTGGCGAATCCTTGAATCGGCGTGCGAATAACTCGGTTATGGAGGTCGTCATGTAAATAAAGACAGTTCCATTTTGTCACTTTCCGCTACCTCTTGTGCTTGAAACCAACGGTTAAAGAATTAATATAATGCAGCTGTCATTTGAGCTGGCATCCCATAGTAATTAGGACCTACGATCATACAGTTACAGTATTATTATTAATAGTTATGTTCTTTTATACAGTTTATGTTTGTTAATAAAATTATAAAGACGTATTATAAATTCTATTACCGCGTACTTTATCGTTTTGTCTTTTAAAATTTAATTCCTAGCTCTTCCCGCGACTTCAGCCGCGGTATAATTACTTTCGTTAGCAATTTCAAAAACTCTTAATTTTTTTCTAGTATGAAATACACAGTTTCATGGTTTCATTTTGCACGATGTTGGGAGCTTCCATATAATTATTTTATTCCATATTTTCCGTCGTTGTCTCTTATACTCCATAATACGGAGGCTTTAGCTACTCATCTTGGAATCTGAGCAATGTATGTGACGTTGTAATACATTAAAAAATATATATTATTGTTTCAATATGTTCAAACTTTTTTTCACGACAAAAGTTTAACAACTTCTAAGGATGCTCAGGACGAGGTTTCGAGATCTGTTGATGCTTGTGCATCTGAATTTGCACGTGTCGCAGATGCAGACGAAGTGCGGAAATTTTTAGATATAGTTTCACAATTAGAGCAATGCAATTTCGCAAGATAACGCCTGATTATATTTTATATAGAAGTTTACTAAATAACAATCTTTTTATAGATAAGGTATGTCGCAGATTATTCGAATAAAGATAAACATTTGTTTACACCATAAGGAAGCAAAATTATGATAATAATTTCATATTCCGCTAATCCTACTTTGCCAGTATTTCTCAACAGTTATACTAAAGTTATCATTATAATAAAGTTTATACGTTTGTGTATTTGTATGTTTGTTAATTCTCTTAACTCAATTGAATTGAGCTTCACAAACTTTTGGATTTCGCTGACCACTTGCCATTTTACACTTTGATCTAGTATTTTCTGAATTTTTTGTCGCTTTTGTTGTATACTTATAATAAGAATCTATTCTTTTTACCGCTTTACAATGTGTGTAGATTGCTTAAGTATACTCAAAGTGGATATCAATAAAAATACTTGAGTGTGCCATTATCTCGGCTGTTAGGTCTGCTGTGTTAACTATAAATATTGTTACAATTTTATTAGCTTCGATATAATTACAAAGTAACGCTTTAAAGCTTTCAATTATATCTCATAAGCTCTAATGGACTGTGACCATTAGCTATGATCTAGGTTTTAATAGTACCCACAGTTTATAAACTTTAAGAACATTACAAAGTTAAGTGGGAGCTTCTTATAAGTAAGAAGGACTGGGATATTTATATTCGACATCTTCAATAACTTCAGATGTCAAAAAATATCTTTAAGAATAGCGTCAAATATGAAGTTATTGTTTGTTTCTTTCGAAATTTTGCCATTCACATACTTTTTTTCTAGATTTTGTTTTACAAAAGTACCTGGGAAAAGACAGCCGAAGGTCTGCCCGAAGCTTGGTGAGAAGTTCGCTGGGTGACCCAAACTGGCGTAGTGTCATTTCTTCGCCAACTCCCAGACATGGGTTTCTGATAAAAACAAAACATTTAAGTATGAAAAAAAAATTGCTTGGCTGATCTTTTTTAGGTTCCAGCAAAAAAGTATTTGTTAGTAGGTGTGTTTTGATTACAAATAAAACCTAAAAATCAAAGCGAATTAACAAAGACAGTTGTTTGAGCGGCATTAACTGCTCCAATACTCGTACCCAATAAATGTCTTACCTGGTTTTGATTAGCTACTGGCCTTCTTTATACACTGCCATATCTTATACGAGTATTATTATGTTAGGTAGTTAGTATTAAGATTATGATTGCTCATAACGTCTTATAGGTACTATAACTTGTGCTATTGAAAACATGCGAAAGCTTTTCACATACGCATTTCTATTCGTGTCTGCTACGGTACCTATATATGTAAGTACACAATCAAGTTATATATCACATGATTTATTAATCACACCAATAATCACACAAAAGAGAAGACAATTGCCCATTTTGGTTTGAGAAAGTTATCAAAACATAGCTGGAGCTGAAATCACGACGTGACTTGGAAATTTGAACAGGAAATGTCGAGTTGCCCAGTTCACGTGACTCGCAGATCAGACGACAGAGTTTGAATAGAAGTGGCAAATAAGATTTGGGCGTAAGAAATATAGGAAAGCAGTCCGATAATATTGCAAACACAGTGGGAAAGAATTGGATTCGAGATTATAAACACAGCTAAACTAAACTAAGCACAAATCGAATAAGTGTGCTGTATAGAAGACCCAGCAGAGCGTAGGTATGGGTTGAAAGATAAAGTCTTCGAATAGAATAGAACTTCTTCGTGCTTGGAAAGCATGATATACTGTTGATAGCAGCTAAATTTGGCCCTGTACTTTTATGAGTCGATATCTCTCCAAATTCAATTATTTTTAATGCCGTAGAATAAGATATAAAACAATAAAGTAATATATCGAACATTGACTTTAACAGTATGTTCTTTGCAGACTTTAACATCACACACAAGACTGGGCTCGTGTAGCCCTAATTCCATATATTGGGGTCAGAAATTGGCTAATGAAGATGAATGTACCTGAAATCTTTGCTGCCTTGGCTTGGGAGGGTTCTGGACTTATTCGGGTCCTGCCCGGTGTCAGCCTCGTATAATCCCCCAGCACCAGTTTTCTTGCCCCATTTTTTGAGGGAGGTAGCGTAATCTTCTGGATTGTAGATCGGGGGCCGTTGCTTATCCTGGAAATATACAATAGAATATAATATCGATGCTGTTGCTTGAAACAAACAATTGACTCACACGCTGTTCTTAAAGTTACCTATGTTATTCTAGTATGCCGGGTTCGAAGCCATCAGATTTCTATAAACCAAGGTTACTATTTTGGGATCTACGCCATGTATATGTTGTTGTTTAATGTATTTATTAAATAGTGTATGAAAGTATCGAAACAATAGTCGCCCAGGCTATCTTTGTTTGAAATTCTATCAAGAGTCACATTAAGCAGTATTTTTTTTCTAAATCGTAAAAAGAGAATTAATGTAGTATTTTATATCATTATCATTTTTTTATTGTACGCTAATATAATTAGAAGTAAGTATCAATGTGAGATTACAACCAATTACATGGTTAATATACGTATCAAATATAGCGTGTGGTACGCTAGGAATGCTAATACTCTCATATGTCATAATTCAGTCAGTTAATTAAGATATGGTTTTAATAGGGTCACGATGCGAGCGATTTACGCTTGCATTAAGATTTTAATAATTCCTTTATTTAATTTCTTACAATCAAGTTATATCACTTACTAATAATAATTCAACCACAATTTTAGACAGCAGAACTATCTGATCATGAGTCTTAAGATGATTAATAAACTTTTAGAATATATGATGATACTATTGGCGAATCCGTTGCAAAAACTAAAGTTATTTTTAAGTCTATCAAACTGTATCTTCATTTTTTTTTAAATATAAAAACAGCAAAAGTAAATTTATTAAATTTATCAAATATTTTTTTTAGATTAGAGGGGCACAGGGACACAGCAAAATTGATGACGTTTGACTGTACGTAGCCAAGATGTGTCGTTTGCGGTTTGCACTGTAACCGCTGTCACTGCGGCCATGCACATCATTAGCGAACGGTGCTGTGATCATCGTTCATAAAGCCTAACAATGCCTTCGTTATGACAGCATTGGTTTAAGAGAAAGCCTCCGAGTTGTTTCAGACACCTTCGACGATATACGAATTGCAATTACGCACCCTAGTTTCATTTACACAAAGTGAATTTTTGTATGATTCATTGATTCTATGACACCGTTTGTCTGCCTTCTGTCCTACACGTAAGGATTACTTTTGAATCAATTTTATTGTATCAGTGGTGATATATTACGGTATCATGAGAAAGTGTTGCAGTTGATGTGAACTTAAGTAGGTACCTACAGAGTTTTCGTTTTCAATTGATATTTGCTTTTATTTAAAAATGTGGTAAAAGAAACTACATTTTTATAACAAATTATCAGCTTCGGTGCTCTGTAAAGATAGAGCATCAATAACCAATTAAAGTAGGTTTTATTTAATTGACTTCACGCTGAATTTTTAATAGTATTCTATTCTCGTAGCGTAGTGCTATTGCACTGCAGATGATTGATGATATATCAAGTAATTTAAAAATAGATATTTGATTTTATTGAAAAAATTGCTTTTTAAATGGAAACTTTTTTTTTAATAACATAAGGCAGGAAATAAAGGTACACAAGGAAAAAGTTTTCATGTTGTGTATTGTGATAATCATTATATGTATATAAAGCACAAAAAAAGTGGGAACAGAAAGAAGAAACTTAATAATTATATTAAATTTCTTCTTTATATTAAGTTATAAAAACTGATATTTTCGTATTCCAAATTATTCGCATTAAAATAACTACGGAAACGGAAATTGATTTCTTGGTCATGACATGTATTCATTGACCATTTGGAATGCATGTCAACGTCTCGTTTCGACTACTATTGGTTATGTAAAATAATGTGAGATAGCTCAGACTTAACGTGTTGATAGATAATCACTTCATATTATCACAGTGTTCCAAAAAAGCAAAAATGATATTTAAAGTTATTAGATATAAGACTGTTAGATGCTAAAACATAAATAAAAAAAAAGATATATTGATATACATCAAAATATGTCAATAAATATTGTTGGCGATTGGTTGGAAAGCACCTTAATTTTTTATAATTTCTCTTTTTCTTTTTGTATTTACACTCTGTTTTTGTCTTTATTATTGTCTTTGGATGTGATTTGTGATTTATTAAACTACACTCGGACTCTATTACAGTAACACTCGGAATCCCCAAATTTTCTTGTGGGACATATTAGACAAGTATATTCGTTTTGGGCGGAATGGCTACATACCTAGTATTCTGAAAAAAGGACGCAACGTCTAGTTGTGTGCACTTACTCCAAAAGGTAAAAGGTAACAAAGGTTTATTTGATTGGACTTTATTGTAATCTATTTTTTTATAAAATAACAAAGTTGTCCCAACCGGCATTTCAATAATGTGCGTTCATGTTAATTTGAATATCCATAGGTATATAATTTACAGTAACTAGTACAGAACTATGACGTAGATAAAATATTTAAAGAATCATGACTCGAGCCAAAGATTTTTATATTTTTTTAATAAAAGAAGAGCTTTTTATTGTTGCAGTTAGGTAAAATCATTAATATTAACGAGCTTATACAACAGTGAGATATATGACAATTACTACGCAATTAAATGTTAGCAAAAGAAAGCATTCTTACGCACAATTAAACCGTAATGAGAGGTTAGCGACCGAATGAGGAATTTGATGCGTTTGGGCGAGATCTACGGTTTAAGTTGCGTTGGCCCGAGATAAAAGCGAAAGCGAATTTATTTAAATTTATGTAGGGCAAACCTTTATCGGTTACAGCATAACTGCTACTCAGTTAGCATAACTGTTAGTATAAATTATCCGGATATATTCATTACTATGCAAATTTATATTTAAATAGATTGTTTGTAGAACAAATATATATATTAGAATTAACATAATCATTTGTTATTTTAACCTTATCAACTCGTAATTATGCAGTGCTACATCATTTCATTATGGTTAGAAGGTCTGTGTCCTCGCAGGGGCATAACAGGGCTGATGATGAATCATTAGAACATAGAGAGGACAGAAGATAAGCCATTACTCTGATCTAGAAGGATTGTGTAGTAGTAGATACTAGAATTGGGGGATGTAAGACTGTTAGCAATTGCAAATTCGGACGAGACCACCTTAATGTGCCTGCCGAAGTAAGAAGGAACTTGAGATTACTAAATAACAATATTTTTATAACGCGACAACAATAACAATACTTTTACTTGGTAAAAGATAAAAATAAAAGAAACAAAACGTTACTTATAATCGAGGTTACTCTGTGGTAAAATTAATCGGCTCGCACGCCGATTTCAAGATGTCACCGTCTCTGAAGATCCGGGATCAATCAATATAGAAATCAAACTTTTCTTTCGTCATCATCATCATCAGTTTTTTAACATCCCCATTGCAGGGGCTCAGGCTTTCCTTAAGGATGGTTATAAGAATGGTCTGAGCCTCTGTAGCGACTTCCCACGTTGACCCTATGCGGTCTGGAGGGTATTAAAGACTGCAAACGCAGCAGCCTGGACCAATGGTTATACGTGCCTTCCGAAGGAGAAGCTCGACATAATAATTTTTGTCACCCCTTCCATAGCCGACCCTTGCGAAAGTTGCTTAAAAACAACGATTGGGAACCACAGGGCTAATCCACTATGCCACCAAGCTACTTAACTTTTCTTTATTAAATCGGAACTTTTTTTTTTATACCGAGGGGACGGCGGTCCAGTGCAATGGGCCTACCGTGCAAAACCCCCCGTACTACCCTCTCGCTTAGTCCGGGTACCTGGTACCTAAGAGTCAATCCCAGGAAAATTAAATCGGAACTGGCTGTATGGTACCTTCTTTGTTTAGATTTTCATAATACAAGTGCTTTAAGTAACTTCATTTGCGATTTAAGTTATTGATGTGATGTTGTGATTTATCTTTTTTTCTCTATTTATAATGTATGGATCTGGTAATGACGTGGTTTTTGGGAATATCATTACTCCTATTCGAGCTGGTGAGTTTCTTGCTCGTTCTTCTTATCAGAGCGGTAGGGAAAAAAATGTTGGACGATTCAAAAGTACTTTTAAGAAGTCTATTTGAATAAAGATCACTTTGACTTTGATGAGTGCACAACAAATAATAAATTGTTGTGTGGTCGGTTCATTTACAGTTTGTATCTTGTACCATACCCGAAATACAATTTGATATTACGACAAAAACACCTTTTGTATTCAGCTAGATGTTATCTCGCTTACAATATGTAATAGCAAACGAACTTCGGGAGGCAACATCTACTCACTTGTACTTTTAATTACACATTCATAATAATAGTTTACACACGAAATTGGGTGAAAGAGAAAGGAGATGGTATCATTGCCGTTCGACGGTTTGTGTTTTTTTAATTGTAGCATAATTTATGTGTTATCGTCAACGCTTATAAAAAAATAAACAGTATAACGGTAGCAGGATATTACTAATTAGACAAACGAGTCATATTTTTTTACAAACGTAAAAACAGCTTTTTTTAAAGATAGAAAAGATGTGCGTATCTATTGTGTAGGTTATTAATATTAATCGCTTGAATTAGATAGAAGTATCTTGAATAACTAAACAGCAATTCAGATATACCTATTTCTTTCTTTTTTGAAGTCGGTTTTACTTATTTTTAATTTTAATGTAGAACAACAGGAGAGGGTCGCATTAGTTCGGTGATAAAAGGAACTGTTTCGTAGTTATTATAATATTTTTGATATTACAAAGAGTAAAGTTGTTTTTCGAGTTACATGATATATTTTTTATTTGAAAGATCTCGATTGAACTAGAATTGGAAGATAACTGGAATATTATTTTAATATTCATTATATCATCGACAAAGTTTTTAATGGGTCAATTTGAATAATGATCGCGCAGTATGAAAAATACAATTTATACAGCGCGTGATAAATGTGATAAATACTATAGAAATAATCAAATTGACCAACAATTAATTATAGCACTCCTGTCGGGCAGATAAAATAAAACGATTATTTAAATTAGAGTATCATATTAAATGCTCTAATTTATCACTTGGTCCAAAATATATAGACAGCTACATCTGTTTGATAAAAAATAGTATATAGATAAACTATCTATGGGTATATATAATGTCAATTTTTGTCTACGATCTCGGCGATAGTGCTTTGAATTAGATGATTATAATGACGCAATCCAATAGACCTCAGGGGATGCTATAGACATTAAAAAAAACGAATCTTCTCAAGATAAATTATTCATTCATAATGAAAAATGAATGAGCTAGGCTATGACGTCACAGCTTCCCATATAATTAATTTACCGATTCGAGAAAATGCGCGTATTTCTCACATTATACAGCAATTAACGGTAATAGGCCATCAATCTGCGTAAAATTTAATTCGTGAGCGTAATTGAAACTTGCCCATTGTTCTCGACCTTATTATCGTGGGATAAGAACTGGGTTGTATATTTTATATTACTTTAAGTTTGTGGAATGTATGATTTTTTATGTTCGAGTATGTGGTTTCGCGTGAAAGGATATTTTAGTATATTTGAGAATTTGGCGAGCAAAATACTATACAAAACTGAAAAACACTATTGTTTACAAAGAAACAATATAATATTTAATGTTAACACTGGTAACTGGTAAAATTTAATATAAATAAACTTTGTTTTAATTAAAGGTCCACATGGAACCTGTAAAGGGTCCGAAACGACAAAGAAACTAAATTCAAACGCGATGAAACCATTTCAAAGTTGCTTCATTTTTGTATAGTGCGCGTGAAAATATAAGAAATCAAAATATATTGATTTACATGAGACTATTGATCAATGTTTAAACAAACCCAAATCAAAAATATTTTTTATTATTTATTTATAATTAATATATATAAATTATAGTTATGGTTCAATTAGTACAGCAAAACTGTATAAACGGTTTGACTATCTGTTGTTTTTTTAAATTAATTAGTGAATATATAATTTCTTTCCTAGCTCATGTGAACAAACCTTCGTGCTAATTAACTTCGTGCTTCGTGCTAATCTTCATGGCTTAGTTTAATTAACTTAATAAAAAAATTCCTTAGATTATACATCAATAATCATAATAAAAAATAGCATATAGTATTTTATTTATACATGTTACCACAAAATTGTATTCAAACGTCGTCCTTGTATAATTTTCCTAGAATTATAATGTTACCTTCCTTCTTAATTACAATATGCAGATGTTCTTTTACAGTGACATACACATTTGTAATTAAAATTTCTTGTATACTAATTTTTATAACTTTATTATCGCCCAAGTTTTATTTTCTATTAAACTAAAACTTGTTAATTGACAGCTATTAATTATACTCCGAATAAGTTTTTAAGACAAGTTTCCGATATGGAAATTATCGTAGAAATAAATAATTAATAGATTTCTCTTGCGAAATAGAAGTTGACAATCTTGATTTTACGTATCTTGTATCCTACAACCAGAAATTGTATCGATAACTTTGTTACTTCAATCTTCTCATGAGATTTGTAACTTCTTTTGCCGTTTGTTGATAATTTGACTCTTTAAGCATTATAGCTTTAAAGCTAGGTATGCACTTTTTATTCATAGTATAGTACGAACAGACTCTTTGAGGTAGAGTGTTAGGTCAATTTCTGCTTAAGAGCCAATGTCGTTTATAATAAGTATTTTGTTAAAGACGAAAAATCCATGCCTAGATTCAACCAAATTTGTTTTTAATTCAAGGCATGGCATTTTCATTGAACTTTCCAGACGTACCGTACCTGGGTTTTAATATTTATTCAAAACGTTCTTACAGAAAAAGACGGAGAGAAAAATAAGAAGAACTAATATTATCTTCTTTTTACTTTCGAGAGAAAAACACCGAGAAGTATAACTGTTTGTACTCAACTTTATAAGCCACATTTAGCGTTTACGAATGAATTTCGCACGCTCTCGATTTCCACGTAGTTTTTGTTGTTTGCGACACGCAAATTCAATCGGCACGTCTAATAAAATGAATTGGCATGAGATATTAATAGATGGCTTACATGGAATTATTGCAAATGGTGGCACGCATTGATCGTAACAAAAAAATATCAGCTTTTAACAGTGAAAACTAGTATAACAGTCTACAGAAGCACGCAAATTATTTGTGTTCAATTATGAAAGTCAAAAGTTTAAATCTCTCTGAAGTCAGATCATTATACATAATTTATTTGACTTCTTCGATCATGGTGTGGTAATGCCAAATGTCATGTTAAACGTAATATGTGTACAAGACCGTAATTGAATATTTGGTAAGCAATTAAATTAATGGCGCGTTGTCGTGAAAAAAAAAACAGATAGGTAATTTAAAACAAATGTTAAAGTGCTATCATGGGTGAATCGAAATCGGCTAATTCAGTTGTAGTCTTTTGAATTTCCGGTGACTATTTGAAAATTAGAAATGAACATTTTGAAAGAGTTTAAATATCAATGTAAAATAATAATATGTGCGTATGAATGTTGTAATCAAATTTGGACCAAGCAAGCGTGATGCTTGGTCCAAATTTGTTTCGCTCTTGATGATGTTTCTTGCCAAGTATAATGGTTTTCTTTTTTTTAATTTGAAAAGTAGTAAAAATCACTTACTTTTGACACAGGCTCCTCGTTCCAACCGCCGCAATTAGCCATTCCTTCCAGCAGTGTTAGTTCACTGTAACAAAAAGAAAATCGACATGAGGACACATTATATTGATCAAAACTGTCACCCACGACAATTGACTTTTAGCCAGTTTCGCAAACGTCCATTAAAATTGTCATTAGTTTAATTACACATTACTCATATAAATTTGACATTCATTAGAGCTTAAAGGCGTCATTAAACCTTAATGGATGTTTGTGCAAGTAACCGATTAACACTCAAAACTCAAGTTGTCTACCCTTCAATAATTAATAAATTTGTAATCTATGGTTCCAATTTTAATAGTAAAAGAGTTTTTATGGATCATATACTCGTAATTCTATATAGATTTTCTGCGATTCATTTGCATGTATGTAAGTTTTAGAAGACCCTATATTGGGTCTCAGTTTTTCCTTATCATCATCATCATCATCAGTCCTTTTACGTCCCCACTGCAGGGGCTCAGGCCTTCCTTATGGATAGTTAAGGAGGATGGGCCATGACCCTCCACGCTGGCCTAATGCGGATTGAAAGGTATTAACGACTACAAATGCAACCGGGACCAACGGCTTAACGTGCCTTCTGAAGCACGGAGTAGGTCGACATAATGTTTTTTGGTCATCCAACCCGTGACCGACCCTTGCGAAAGTTGCTTAATTACAACGATCGCGGGCCGCAGCGCTTATCCACTATGACTGAGCTATCCGAGCCGATTTTATTCCTTATAGTAAGTCCTAATTTAATACCAAAATACACAGAGAAAGAGAGTTGGTGAGTAAAGATATATCCGCTTTTAAGTAATCAATATGTACGTATGACTCGGTAACCTGCATAAGACAAAAATATCCGTTTTGTTATTTCTGATTTTCATTGTCTAACGAAGTCACTTAAACTTCTCTGTATGAAATTAAACCAGGGAAAAAATTGCTGGAGTTTCTTGCCAGTTCTTTTCAGTAGAATGTCTCCCACAGTTGATTTACTCGTTCACAAGACAGTATAATTGATTTGAATTGAAAAAAGAACACCATATAAATATAATCAGTCAACCTCCCTATTGTTTAAGCGTGAAAATATTTGTCCACCGGTCCACTGGTTCAGATGCCAATGAGAAATCTGAGCTGCATAGTCCATCTTCATTCATCACGTCCTAGTTTCATTGATGCAGAACATTTTCTGCGGTTGGTAAACGGCGACACTGTAGAAATCGCTCGAGGTATCGATAATTTGTAACGTTTAGGGTTGACAATCAGTACATGGAAGAGGATTTTGTAAAAATTATTGGATAATTTTCCATACATCGCAGGAGTAATAATAATAAAATTTTTGGTACTGATTATATTTCGATTTCGATTTTTTTTAAATTGGATATAAGGTCACACTTCTACGTCTGTTCGTCTAAATGCGATAGACACAAAACTATCACGAAATTTTATCGACTTTTACCAATAAATAGAATAAACGATGAGAAAAAATGTTTTAATTAATATTTGTATATCATAATGTCAGAAAAAATGTCGAGGAGCTTTACTATATAGTTCTGTTGAAGTGGATCGCTAGTATTAATCATGTTAATATATTTTATCTCTAATGCTGATATTATCTTTTATGGCAAACAGCAGCAGCAACAGAAGAAGCTAATTAATGAAATATAAAGATGGATAAGAGAAAATTCAATGCGGAACTGGCAGGAAGCAACCCTATCTTTGATTCGCCGATAAAAGTACTAAGTAACCATAACTTTCCTCTATCTTACGAGAGTTCGTATACTTGATGAATGTTATTTTATGGAAAGCAGACGGCCATGGCTGCAATGGATGTCATTCAGTGACCTTGATAATGTTGTGGATAAGCTTAAGACAGTACAAAACTGTCTTAAGCTTATCCATATAATATTATATATCCACGTAATTTAGTATGAAGAGAGCTCTTTTGGAGAAAAAAAATCTATAGTAGCTTAAGGATGTAGAAGCCGGAAAGGTCAAGATAATATTTCAAGAACAAATTGAAAGCTTGATGTAAGAGTCACGAATGTCAAAGAAGAAAAAACTACCATTCTTTTTGGCGTTCAGTTTGTTCAGCCTTTTCCACAAAGGATTTGGAGTGTAGTCAAAGATAGAACGTTTGCTCTTTCTTGTTCAATGTCGATATTATAGACTAGATATTTTACCAGTATTCCAATAATATAATAGAGTTTTGTATGAAAAAATTTATGAATATCAAAGAAGAAATATGTAAAGACAGTTCTTTTTGGCGTTCAGTTTGCGCTGCTCTTGTCACAAGGGATTTGGAGTGAAGGCAGAGATAGAACATTTGCTCTTTCTTGTTCAATGTCGATATTATAGACCAGATGTTTTACCGGTATTCCAGTAATAAAAACTTCGATAGGCTTCGATGTTAATATAAATTCTCTTTTTTAAAGATTTCTACTAACGCTGATTTGTTCAACACAACCAAAGAAATTTAAGTACGTCACCAAGCTTGCATACAAAATATTTAGAATAGTTCACGCGGAATCACAAGTATTTCTATAAACTGTGGGGTAAACGTCTGAAGATGGCTAGCCAGATTACTAACTTCCTTGACTGCAGAGATGGGCATAATGATTACAGATTAACGATTACACTATGCAATATTCATGCTGAGTTTAAGATTCATAATTTTTAGATAAACAATTTTTTTAAATTAAAATTACGAATTAATAATAAAGGTTAATTTAGCAGTGAGTAGAAAAAAACTTAAAAGAATAACTATAAAAAAAGAAAATTACTTTTTTATTCGAACACTTCTTTCTGTCTTTTTCACGCCCGTTCCTGTAACGTTTGAGGGTATGTTCCGATATACACTGCGAGCACTGCGCAGTGGTCTTACTGCTGAAAAATCCGTTTCGTTATGGACTGCCAGTACACTGCTACAGTACCTAGGGAAATTTATGACGTCATAAATTGCCGCCATATTTGTACTGTGAGCACTGGAGATTTCGAGGTAAGGTGCTCGCAGTGCTTTTGATCACGTGATCAGTCGAAACAGAATCAGAAAATGATAAGTTTCTAAATAAACAAAGAAAAATACTTACGTTTATTTATAAGATGGATTTAATTGATAAATATTTTTTTTATACAATTTTCCAATTTTCTTTTGGAAAGAGGGAATCTTTATATTTATATTCACCTTGCATTAACAAATTTGAAAACGGCGCCAAAAAATAGGATTAATAGTATACTGGACTGCGTTCCGTTTTAAAAAGTCACCAGTATAACTAGCTATAAAGGAACGGGCTTCCAGTATACTAAATTGATGTCATACTGTTCAGTGGTCGTAGTGTATATCGGAACATACCCTGAGATCCGCTAGTTTGTGACGTCATATGTGTATATTTTAAGTAAATTATTCAAATATCTTATTTTTATTATATTTTATCAACTTCACATTCACAATGCTATACTGGAAAACATTCCTAATAAAAATATTCCAATTCTTTGCAAAAACTTTGACCCTGGCACTTTGAGATGGGATATTATTTTTGTTTATAAAATTGTACTTTATATTTTTCTAATCACTTGCGGAAATTTGACATATTGTGGTAACCTGACGTGTATTCGTATGTACGTATGCTTTGTCATTTTCTTTTTATACGATTAACAATTAAGCATTGTGCAAAATCAATATCAGATTTCTCAAGAAATGACCTTCTGTAAATAGTTTTGGTACTTCCTCAAATCGATACGTATTTAATGATTTCTCAACAGCAATTTTTATAACAAAAAAAGGCCGATTGAATAATGTTCTATGATAAAATTAATTAGTCTCCGTTTTCGAAACATATTAATTAGCGTTACAAGATTTAAGGTTGATTATTTATTGTTGATGATTCGCGAACTGTTCTACAAAGATGTTACGATGAGATACGTACTGATTCCCAAGACGGTAGCGATTGAATTGTAGAAACTACTCGCTATTGAATTTGGTGAAGATAATTGTTATGGCCCAGATTGTAATTGAGAACGTACGAAACAAACCATTAATATCAAATTCGAGGAGTTCGTTAGCACGATGGTTAATGCGTTTGGTTGAACAATATTTGCTCGTCGGGCTCGTCTATAGGATGGATGACCAACAATTTATGATTTCGAGCTCCTCCGTGCTTCGAAAGACAAGGAAGTAGTCATTCCCCGCTGCAATTGTAGCCGTTTCAATCCACATTCGGATCGCGAATTGGGTTATCATCTGTTCTCTCTAGATGATTGTTGAATCATCGATCGCAATAGGGAAAAGCTCCAGCAGTTTATAAAACTATAATACCCAAATTTAATTGCGTTTTTAAAAGTACTTAGCAGGCAACGCCATCTAATGATAGTTTAGAATAACATAAATCTTCTCAGGTAAATATTTTTTCAAAAGGCCTATATTTATAGTAACATGACGAGGAATGTATCGTGATTTACTTACATGAATCAATGTTATGAATTGATTGCATAAAAATCGAGTTTATTACGATGAAAGCGTAAAAATCTATTAGGTAACACCAAAACATTTGCCGTGAAAACAAGAATTATGTGGTTATTAAAATATTCGTTATTTAAATGTTTATAGTTATTTATATACATATACTCTATTACCTAATAATCTAAACTCTAAGCCATTATTTAATTATTATTTTTGTAAAAAAATTGGTAAGGTGGTTCGGGGGTAATCAATCAATGCGGGGAAAACCCGAAGATGACATTAATATTATATGTAGCTATCTAAAGTATTTTCATCTATTAAATTTTTTTTATTTGTCAACTTTATCAAGAGATGACAAAAAAAAAATAATGCCTGATTTCACTCTTATATGTACTGAATATCTAACATCCCGTTGCACAAACGTCCACTAAGGTGTAATGACGACTTTAAGCTCTAATTAGTGTTCTACATTTGAATATTTTTATCGGTAATGCCGTTTTAAACTAATGATAATTTTAATGGACGTTTGGATTTTACAGTCAGTCAGTATGGTGTTTGATAAAAAAAA